TTGTTCATTGTCATAGGAGCCTATCATAGTGCATGTTGGTTATCTGGTATATAACAAATCTAAAGCTGTGTAACAAATAGTCCCAAAACGTAGTGGCTTCAAAAAACAAATGGGCCCTGGCCAGTTTGGCTCAGCGGTTAGAGCGTTGGCCTGTAGACCGGAGAGTCCCAGGATTGGTTCCCGCTAAGGGCATGTGCCTTGGTTGCAGTTCGTCCCCAGCCCTGGTTGGTCATGCGGGTGGCAGCCACTCGATGTGTCCCTTTCACATCGATGTCTCTTTCTCTCTCTCTCTCTCTCTCTCTCCCCCTCTCCCTCCTGCTCTATCTCAAAAATGTCCTCGGGTGAGGATTTAAAAAATAAATAAATAAATAAACAAACAAACAAACAAACAAATGGTATTATCTCAGTTTCTTCCAGGAGTCAAGGGTGCCCTGGCTCAGGGTCTCTAGTGACCCAAGCGTCAGCTGTGGCTGATGCCATTCCAAAGCCAGACTGAAAGGGGTTGTTGGTGAGATTCAGTTCCTCATGGACAGCCGGAACAAGGACATCAGTGCCTTGCTGGCCGTTGGCTGGAGGCTCTCCCCCGTGAAGGCTTCTTCGTAGTTTAGCTCACAAATGGCGTCTGGCCAAGTGAGCAAGTGAAAGAGAAGAGAGGAGAGGCAAGATGGAAGCCAAAGTCTTTGTGTGATGTAGTCTCAGAAGTGATACACCATCACTTGATTAGTCTGAACAGGGGGTCAACCAACATGGTCAGTAGGCCATAATTGCCTGCCACTCAGTTTTGTAAATAAAGTTTTATTGGAACACAGCTAATCATATAACTACAACAGCAGAGTTGAGTGATTGGAAAAGAGACCATATGGCCCACAAAGCTCAAAACACGGACTACCTGGCCCTGCACAGAAAACTTGGGCACTGGTGCATTAGAAGCAGGCCCAGCCCATACCTGCGGGGAGGGATTCACAAGGGCTTGGACACCAGGAAGCTGAGGTCATTGGGAGTCATTTTATTTTATATTATTTTTTTATCATCCTCACCCAAGGACATTTTTCCATTTTTTGTTCAGGTAGAGTGGGAGGGAGAGAGAGGAACAGAGGAGAGAGAAACATCGATGTGAAAGGGACACATCGAGTGGCTGCCACCCGCACGACCAACCAGGGCCGGGGACAAACTGCAACCGATGTACGTGCCCTTAGTGGGAACTGAACCCGGGTCTCTCCGGACCGCAGGCTGATGCTCTAACCGCTGAGCCAAACCGGCAAGGGCCATTGGGAGTCATTTTAGAAGCTGCCTACCCCATGGCACCTGTCCATGAGTAGGCATTTGATGAGTATTTGCTGAATAAATGAATAATTGTTCACATTCTACCAATATTCCAAATTCAAGTGCTGAAAGGAAAGTTACAAGCTAAGAAAATAGCCAAATTCCTTCACTGATTATTAGGATCTGATGACTGTCACCACTGACAACTTATCAACTTCTGTGATCTTATGAGTAATTTCCATCATTATGTTAAATGAGTTTTATGGTAAAATGAGCTTAGAGTTTATTAGGTAGGTCTGACAGATTATTCTTTCATGACATTAGTGAATTGGAAAAAAGTAAAGTATTTTAGGGTAACTACTCGAGACAAGACTTCACTCTGGGGCAAGAATACTGACTGTGAATGTTTACAGTCTGGCAGTCATCAATATCTTCTAATACCTTTAGAAATATACACCTGGCACATCTTCCTTAAGAAACTTTTAGAGTCTATGCACTGGGGAAAACATTTATTAGCAAGTCTTCCTCCTAAAGCACAAAGAAAGAATAAAGTACTAAGGGTAGAGAAAAAATTTTTTAACCCCTTAAAAATGCCTCCCAAGAGGCAATCTTGTTCACAGAAAAGAATCAGAGTAAAAGAAAGGTACATGTGATTAGTGAAAAAGTAGACATCAAAGACTATTCCAGTTAAATAAAATGTCCTGTTCCGGACATGTAAACACATGGCTGATTTTGAACATAAACTGGTATATCATTTTTATTAAATACACACATGTAATGAAAACCATAGCACGTTTGAGGAAACCTGTACACCTGTGAGCCAAAACTGGACATCATCAAATTCTGGATTTGCTCAGTTTAAAGCTATAAAAGTAAAGCTATAACAAGAAGCAACTGTACTATTTAAATTCATTCAGAAAAAAAAAAACAACACAGTTACATTGCTCTGAAACTTTCAAATTCCTAACCCTACTTTCTCTCGCTGAAATAATTTTTAGAGCATGCTTTTTAGGGTGCCTGGGGTGCACAAATGTCAAGGTGGACCTGAAAACAATGGCCTGGGTTGTGCTGAACTTTAATACAGACAATGCGTCTGGATATTCCGTTCTGATACTCATTACTGATTTAGTAATAAGCACAGCATAAGTACTTTTAGAAAGATAAATGTTTCTAAGCACCACAGTTGAATGATTTGTCCTAGTCATCAAATCTTAGCATATTAACCCAGAGCTATGCAGTTCCGACCACGCAGTGTATTCACCGTAGATTCCTTCTATTTCTCCTTCACTACCCTCCCAGGCAGGGCTCTGGGCTCCTCACCCATGACTTGGAGAACCTGAGCAGCTTCTTAATTTTCCAAAAGACTGGAGTGGCCCTGGGAGAAACGACAGTCTGCGTTGGCAGGCTTGAGCCGGGCTGGGACAACCTCTTACCTCCTCCGGGTGCTCATTTGGGAAGGGGGGGGGGGGGTACCCTCCTCTCTCCAACCCCCTCCCCACATTTTGGGCTCTCTAGCAGGAAAGAGGGAGAGAACTGGCAAATGAGGGAGTTGGATGGTGGGAGCCCCTTCGGAGTCCCGTGAGAATCAGTGTTTCCCAGTGTCCCACAACTTGACTATTTCCATCTCAAGCGAGTGCTCCGGGGAGGGGAGCGTGTTCTTGCCACAGCCCAGCTCGAACCTGTTCCTGCTCAGAGGCTGGTTGTTTCTCCCCAGCGCCGTTTCAGTCTTGGGCACGCAGTTCTCAGGTTCCCCCAGGTCTTCGAGACAGTGCCCTGTCCCAGGGCTGCGCAGGGTCGCCCGGAGGCTGCATGGGGAAACGAACCGAGCCTGGGTGCAGAACCCACGGCGTCCCAAGCAAAAGACGCGGCCCAGAAGCCAAGGGCTTTACCTCCAGGAGGTGGCCGAGGGACCCGGCACCGGGTAGCTGCCTCCTGTTGGATCCTGTCGTGAAAATCAGGAGCAACCTCCGCGGCAGCGGGGTGGAGGGTGCAGGTGGCCCGCCCCGCCTCCACAGCTACGGGACAACAGGGCCCGCCCCGCGCCCCCACCCCGCCCCCTCCTGCTCGGAGGGTTGCAGTTCACGGGGCCAGCGCCCGGGCCAGGGCCGGGCTGCGGCGCAGGACCACTAGGCTTTCCTGGCATGAGTGCCCAGAAGCCGGGGTAACACGCCTGGCTGCAGGATACCCCAAGAGGAGACCTGGATGCCGGAGCCAACGTTTGCTTGGTCTCAAAGAAAGCTAGCAAACTTGAGGTCGTGTGATGGGAGAGGTGGGGTTTATCATCTTCAGTAAATCCTCAGGATGTTCTAATACTTATTATTGTCCATTTTAGAATTATACAGACGGGACCAAAACCAAAACCCAAAAGCACCCTTCCTAATTGGTTTCTAATGATTCTAGTCCAAGTGTCTTTAAATAGTTATTGTAAACCTTTAAGGTGTTTTCTGTGTAGAGGAATAGTTACCGCCAAGGAGATTCATAAGAGAACCGGTTGGAAAACCATATAAATAGTATGATCTAATTTTTGTAAATAAACAAATCTAAAAAGTCTGGAAGTTGGTTTGCCCTGGTAGTATTTTTTAAAAGTCGCCTGTAATTAAAATTTATCTGCAAGGAACATGCAACATCTATATAATAAATTTCATTCTCAGCCAGGCACCTCATGTCTTCCCATTGCCTCTAACGTGTAAGTTGTGTAAAAGGATACAAATTAGATAAGCTAAAATGCTGCTACCTGGGACCCACATGGAGTCTTGACACAAAGGACAAGTGAATAAACAAGGCCAGTCTGCTGTGGTCACTAATCCACAGGAAACAGCTTTTGCTTTACTCCATCTCAGGACCCATCCAAGAAAAACACGTCCTGTGGCAGTTTCCTTTTATTCCGTCAGACCCTGGAGTGCTGTTCTCCCTCCTCACACCCCTATTCTCTCAACCCAACAGAAACACTTCCCGGGTTGTATCTGATGTTCTAGTGATTTTCTCATTTTTAAAAGGGATATTAAAAAGGCCAATTCGATAAATTGATCAAAATTCTTTGAACTAAGAATCCCCCAAATAGGTCCTCACTCCCCACCCCCAGTGAAGTGCCCGTTCCTGTGGCCTGGAAACGAGGAGGCAGAAGGTGGAAGCCTCTTCTCTGTGGTGAAGGCAACTGAGCTCCATGAATCGAAAAGCAAAAAGTGACATATCCGCACAGTGGAATATGATTTGGCTGTAAAGAGAGATGAAGTACTGATACATGCTACAACATGAATGACCTTTAAAAACATTACACAGAGTAAGAGAAACCAGTCACAAAAGATTGTGTGTTGTATGATTCTATTTGTAGAGAATGTGCAGAATAGGCAAATACGGAGAATCGAAGCAGATTACTGGTTACCAACTGCGGGGGGGTTTGGAGGATGGGGAGTGACTGCTAAAGGGGTTCTTTTTGGGGTGATGAAGTAGATTATGGTGGTTGCACAACTCTGAATGTACTAAACACTGAATTGTACACTTGAAAATGATAAATTTTATGTACATGTATATGGATTATTTCAATCAAGCTGTTTGAAAAGGGTGGTGAGGCTAATGTTTGCTGACTGGTGTCAGCTATTGTGCTAAGCGTCTTAGTACACACTTTTTTACTTCCTCTAACAACCACTAGGAGTTGGTTATTAACCTCTTTTTCTAGATAAAAACAAAAATTAAACTCAGATAAACTGAGTCAACACAAAGCTAAGGAGCTGAAGGGGGATTCAAATCAAGGTCTAACTTTAAAGCCCACACTCTTCTCAGTACACCCCCGTTGAAACGTGCACAAGGTACAAAATCACCTTTCAAGAAAGATACAGAACCTCACATTTTATAGCAGTTTATTTTTGAGAATTGAACTCTTGTATTCTCAGATTGAAGACTATAGGTTTCTCCCAGACAGACAATAGAGACACATTTAAAACAATCACTTTATTAAAAATAGCAAATTTCACAGATATTTCACATTTTGTTACCACTGGCATTGGAAAACACACCGATGTGTGTACTGATTGTCGAACGTAAACTGAAGCTGGGCTGCCACAAAAGCCTGGGCATCATCAACTTAAATCAACAGTGGAATCACTTTGGTAAGCCCAGGAAGGGTACATCCCTCAGCCCCGTCAAACACATTTAGCACAATGAATTTCAAGTATAACCTCAGAAGGCAACAATAAGCGTAGCAGCACAACCTCTGTACCTCATTTCCTGATTAAGCCTTTGACAAGGCCTGGGCCTCCAGTTACGGTGAATTACAGCAGTCGGATTTACTAGAAGCAGTTATGTGAAAACAATCATTGCACTTGCACTTTAATGACTTGAACTCCTCACTGTGGAAGATGATTCTGCTACTGGATTCAGCTGGAAAAGTAAAGAATGCTGCTTTTCTTCAAACCACAGGGCAGCAACTGCATTTCATTTTAGCTGGTGGAAGCGTCAGAAGTGTTTGGAACATCCTGCGCATCTGTCAAATGGAGTTTCTGTCTGAATTCATGAGTTAAGAAGATTTTCATTCTATAATTAGTACTTGTTTTAAATTTCTGGCAATTACATTCAGGAGCTAAGAGACAGAGGGTATTAAAAAATATATGTTTAAAGGGAAAGTACCTATGTTGCTTTTGAGAAACTTAGAAGTGGTAAGACAATTTTTAAATGTAGTGAAGTAATTATACTATGCCCAGAATGTGAAGACTTTCAAAAAAAACACTGACTCAAGACTATGTTCTTTTAATGCACTTAGAATCATTTTCATGGTGAGGCATATATAAAAATTTACTGGATTAAAAAAATTCATTTAAGAAGACAACACCACTTTATCATCCTTGGGAAAACAATTTCTTTGTAAAGATCAAAAATGAAATAAAATCTTCATAGCTCTAAGACCTTTCCTATAATTCTGAATTATTCTTCAATTGGAAATAGATGGAATTCCTACATATATTAGTCACTTCTCATCACTGTCTTTCATTTTCCTCTTCCATCTATATGATCTACCTGCTACCTATTTTTCAAGGCCCAATTCAAGCAACGAGATGGATACATTGAGAATATGGATACACTGAGAACTAAATGACAACCAGCAATACATGGATGGGAGAGGTTGCCAAAACGTAGACATGAGCACCGCCATCAAAGACATTCGCATCCACTTGGAAGGCAGAGATTTAACACACAAAAATCAACAGATACTGTAAAAAAAGCAGAATGCTAGTTTGAGGTACAAACTAAATGCTTTATGGAAGTGGTCAGCTTCTGTGTTATTTGCTAAGTAGAAGGGGGAGGCCAGAGTAACTCTAGGTAGGAAGTACAACCTTGAGTAAAGGCATTAAGTAAGGTAAACATGAACATAATCTGCTCTTGGGCATCCGAGAACCAACTTGGTGGGAATAAAAAATATAACAGGATGTACAGATTGTGATCAAATTACTGAGAGTCCTTAAAAAGTCTGGCATGGTAAACATAACTTGGTAAGGAACAGGAATAGCAAGATGAAAGTGATGTTTTAGGAAGGATCATTTATTTAGTGACAACATCTAAAGTCTACAGCAGCACTGTCCAATAGAAATATAATGCAAACCAAGGATAAAATTTTTAAAATATATTTTATTTACACTAACATATCAAAAATTATTTCAATATGTCATTATAAAAATATTGAGATTCTTTTTTTTTTTTTTATCCTCACCCAAGGACATTTTTGCATTTATCTTCAGATAGAGTGGGGAGGCGGGGAGAAACATCAATGTGAGAGAGAAACATCGACTGGTCGCCACCCACACGACCCCAACAGGGGCTGGGGACAAACTGCAACTGAGGTACGTGCCCTCAGCGGGAACCAAACCTGGGACTCTCTGGTCCGCGGGGTGACGCTCTAACCGCTGAGCCAAACTGGCCAGGGCTTGAGATTCTTTATATTGTTTTTTCATACGAAATCTTTGCAAGCAGGTGTGCATATTAGACTCACAGCCCTTTCTAATCCAGATTAGCCACGTTTCGTGTACTCAGTGGCCACAGGGCTAGGGCTGCCATACTGCACAGTGCAGCTCTAGAACTGGAATAGAAATGTGAAAGGTTATGGAATCAGGTGAGGCAGGAGGAGATTGAAGGAAGAATAAAAGGCAGAAATAATGATGCCTGGCAACTAACCGTAATTAAGAAATGGCTAATAATTCCATGTCCATGTCCAGGCTCAATGGCAGAAAGGGCCATGACTGATTAGCAATCTGTGCTATGGTCATAGGGGGATTTTTAAATACGCTTGGAGACTGAAATAACTGAGGTACTGATGGCAGAGAATTAGGAGGGGAAAGTTGGAGTACAGAGAGAACATTTATTACAGACAGGAAAACGAGGGTGGCCAGATTTCACTCACGGTCGCACAGATGCCTACCATGGTTTGAAACAGAGCAATCCAAAGGCCGTGCTCTGACGTTATCTCACTGCCTTATTTAACTGTGGTGGTGGAATCGGTGACACAAAGAAGTCTGACTGTTTAACAAAAACTCAGGTCAGAGGACAGGAGATACTTAAGTGTCATAAACCTAGAAAGAATATAAAGCTTGGAACAAATATAAAGAACAAAGAACCAGGAACTACTTCTAAGAAAAGCCCCCTGATTAATTCATATTTGAGTCTTAAAAGATGATGACAATGATACTTTACATTAATATCTCCCCACAGTTTATGTGGCTTCTCAAATTTTTCTGAAAATGGGGAGTATAACACTGCCTACTTTCAAGGGTAGGCCCAAATAAGTTACTGTGTGCTAAATCTTTCAGATAATACTTGGCAAATTGTAAATATTCAATAAAAATTAGTTATTGTTATTACTAGCTTTGACTATGTCTTCCTATTTTTTCATTGTTACTATAAAAATCAGCAATTAATAACAGTATATGTTATAGTAACAACAGTAATTTACATATATATGTAAGTATACATGCACATTTTTTTTTGTTAATTCTCACCCGAGAATATTTTTTCCATTGCTATTTAGAGATAGTGGATGGGAGGGAGGGAGAGGGAGAGAAAGAGAAACATCAATGTGAGAGAGACACATCGATTGGTTACACCTCTCGTAACCAGTCCTGGGCCCGGGATTGAACCTGCAACCTAGGTACATGCCCTTGACTGAAAATTGAACCCAAGACCCAAGACCCTTCAGTACACCATTGCTTGAACCACTGAGGCACACTGGCCAGGGCTATATATACATTTTATATATGTAATGTGGTTTGGAAAATTTTACATACACATCATTACATGTACAAATCACCGTATATTATAGAGGACACTGAGATGTTAACCAATATGCCCAAAGTTACATTACATGGAACCAAATGTCAAAAATTAAATCTCTTGCCCTGGCCGGTTTGGCTCAGCGGTTAGAGCATCGGCCTGCGGTCCGGAAAGACCCGGGTTCAGTTCCCGCTAAGGGCACGTACTTCGGTTGCAGTTTGTCCCCGGCCCTGGTTGGTCGTGCGGGAAGGGACACTCGATGTGTCCCTTCACTTCGATGTTTCTCTCTCTCTCTCTCTTCCTCTCTCCCCACCCCACTCTATCTGTAAAAAAATGGAAAAATAGCCTAGGGTGAGGATAAAAAAAAAAAATTAAATCTCTTGACTCTACAGTATCCTTTCTAGTATTTCATTTTTAGTTCAAAGGGAATGTCTTACCTCTCAAATAAAATTATTTTATAGGTAGGATCATTTCTTACTGTTCTTATGTACATCACATTGTGACTGTCACTATATAAAAAAAAAAATACATCTTGAAAAGTTCCTGAATTGCTCTACATTGAAATGTCAAAACCTGAATATTTTACATGTACCTTGGTGATTTCCTTTAAGTGATCTTATAATACACTCTGTACACTTAATTATGAAAAAGTCATTTCACAGGTCATATAAATATCCCTTGAATGTCTAGCTTTCAATTTTATGCATTTAAAATATCCTATGTAATGCCCGGCTGGTGTGACTCAGTGGATAGAGTGCCATCCCATGGACTGAGCAGTCCCAGTACGATTCCCAGTCAGGGCACATGCCCAGGTTGCAGGCTCAAACCCCAGTGGGGGCGTGCAGGAGGCAGCCAATTGATGTTTCTCTCGCACATCGATGTTTCTCTCTCTCTCTCTCTCTAATAAAGAAAAGCAACAAAAAAAACATTTAAAATATTCTATGTAGTAATATTACATTAAGCATAGCATATTGAGTTATACGACTGCCATTTAGCCTCAGAATCTATGATTCAAAATAATTTATATGACAAACTAGCCTAATCCTCAATTCTCTTAAAATTTTTTAATTTGTTTTAAAAATACAGAAACAATACAAAGTAAAGCAGAACAAACCAGAAACAAACAAAATAACTAGAAAATTCCATTTGGAAACCAAAGGGGAAGAGAGATGGCCCTACTAAATGACAGTGGGTACCTTTGCTCACTCTGTCTAAACATCACATCTTTCTAAAATATGATCAGGACTATTCGCCAGAAATTATAATTTGGAGACTTTTCACTGTTGATATTAGGCAAAGGATACATGGAAGAATTCAATTCTTCTAACTGTAACACAAAGAAACACATTTAATTTTAATTTTTATAACATAAATATAATAAATATCATAATTAAACACTTTATTTATTTATTTTTATCCTCACCTGAGGATATTTTTCCATGTTTTGTTCAGATAGACTGGGAGGGATAGAGAGAAAGAGAGAGAGAGAGAGAAACATTGATGTGAAAAGGACACATAGAGTGGCTGCCACCTGCACAACCCAACCAGGGCCGGGGACAAACTGCAACCGAGGTACGTGCCCTTAGCGGGAACCGAACCCGGGTCTCTCCGAACCACAGGCTGACGCTCTAACCGCTGAGCCTAACCGGCCAGGACATAACTAAACACATTAAAATAAATTATTTTTCACTTAAGCTTTCTTTATATGAAAAAGCAAAATATTAAAGAAAAACTTTTCAATAATTTCCGCACTGAAAAATTCACTTATGTAAAATAATTATAAAGTAGTTTTAGTATTTATTAAATAAGAATATGTGAAGAAAATTAAGTCAGATGATAAAAACTGGAATTTTCTAAGTATGCTTAAAATCATGCATAATCATAATCTTCTCTAAAAATAGTTTTAAAAGAAAAAAATTGTCTTTTGAATAATCAAAATCTTTAAAACCTTTACGGATTACAAAAAGATTTCACGTGACATTCAGTTTTCGGTATGAGGTAGAATTAATCACCCTCAGAGAGAAAAACCTGAGTTACAGAAATGTTCAATTGCTCAGTCACAGATGCAGATCCTGGGCTAAACAAAGGCTTTCTGGTTTCAAATTGGGTGGTATTTTCAGCATACCACAGTCATTCTCCTAAGTGTACTATAAAATTAAGCTTATATTTGTTAAGAGGAACTGGTAAAAGGAAATAGTTGCAACACTGAACAAAGTAGACTTGAAATAAAAAGTATAGACATGAAATTTTAAAGTATGGGCATGCAACTTCCCCTCACATTTACGAATTCAAAAGACAGAAAAACAAATAGAATGTCATCGGTGACTATGGAAGCTATTCTGAAACTCAAGTACAGTGAATAAACATTTTTATTTATTTTTGTCCCAAAAAATATTTAGAGAGGCAAATTTAGTTTATACTTCGCAGTAGATTCCTAAGTGGTGTTATGAGGCTGAATTATGTCTTCCCAAAATTCAAATTTGAGTGCTACCCTCTAGTACCTTAGAATGTGACAGGAATTGGAGAAAGGGTCTTTAAAGGGGTAATCAAGTTAAAATGAGGTTATTAGGGTGGGCCCTAATCCAACATGACAAGAAGAGGAAATCTGGACACAAGCACCCATGCAGAGAGGCAGAATGTCACGTGAACACAAAGATGGCCACCTACAAGCCAAAGAAAGAGGCCGCAGAAAAAACCACCCTGCCAACACTGTATCTTCAACTTTTAGCCTCCAGAACTGTGGAAAAAAAAATCTCTGTAGTTCAAGCCACCCAGCCTATAGCGCTTTGTTATGGCAACTCCAGCAAGCTAGTACACATGGAAATGTAAAAAACTGCTATAAATAATAAATGTAGTTCTGTATTTAAAACTAAGTACCCACCCTAAATAAAGAATGCAATATGCATTAATCGTGAGGATTTTTTGACATACTACCTTCTACATCTTAAGATCTTATCATATATGCACAGAAGCTAATATTTCACTTGAAGATCGCCCAGGATTCTCAGAATGTATGCATAATTTCTTTGGACTATATTTAAAAAAAAAAAAAAAAGAGTAAAATACAACATGGATGAAACCTGAAAACATTACACTAAATGAAAGAATCCCAACAAAAAGCCACATGTTGTATGATTCACTCGTATGAAATGTCCAGAATAGGTAAATTCATAGAGATAGGAAGTAGATGAGTGGTTGCTAGGGGATTCGTGGAGGGAGAACTGAGAGTTAGAGGGTTTCTTTTTTGGAGTGATGAAATGTTCTGAAATTAGAGGTGATGTCTGCACAACACTGTGAATACTAAAAACTACTGCACTGTATTCTTCAAAATAGTTAAAACAGTAAATTTTACCTCAATAAAAATATTAAGAAAAGAATAAAGCAAAAGAACTATACTCACGTCAGACAGAAGCCTATCCAGATTAGAGTCACTAGCTGTTTTCCTCTTATCCTCGGGCAGTTCCTCTAACTCCCCATAGAGCTCCAAATTCAGGCGAGCTAATTTCTCCTGCATTCCCCGAACATGTTCCATTTGTTCAATGGAACATTCATTTCCTGAGGGGACATTCCAGAACATAAATAAAGATGAAGTCAGTTCAAACTAACTGTCTTGAGGAAATGCTCTTGAACTCTAGGTGCTACAAAAGAAATTGATTGTCTTCCATTGTAAATGACTTTGTTAATGACTGCCTATTTTGGGGATATAAAAAAATCAAATTTCTGACCAGGAAAACAGTGACAATCTAATAAATGACCATGGGCACTAAACAAATCAGATAGGAAAGATTTAAAAAAATTATCTCTTAGGTATAATCATCTCCAATTTGACAACTGTCATTTGAATCAAATGATCCAAATTTTATAATAATCTCAATGAAATTAAGAGTCATACAAAGACTTCAACCACAAATCCTTTACCAATCAATTATATATTCCTCCTTGAAGAAAAATATATGAAAATATTCATGAAACATGTAGAATGTTATGAAGAATGAGAAATACAACATAATATTTTTCAGTTGTATACACAGTAGTACAACTTAATTGATAAATGAAATCTATGATGATTGTATTTTATGCCTCTGGACTCTTTTTTTTTTTAACAAAAAAAAAATGACACTTTTAAAAGGAATAACAAAATACACGTAGACAATAGGATATAAACATATTGAAAAAGAAAATGGTAAATACAGACATCTGTTGCTTACCGAATGCTTGAAGTTTTCCAGAGTGGAAATCATTCAAAAGGCTGAGAAGCCCCTTCTCCATCTCCTGAACATCTGAGACATCAGTGAGAAAGGAATGCTGAATTGGAGTTGACTGAGTACCTTTTCCTTCTCCACCCTGAGGTTTCGTCTTTTCTTTCATCACTCTGCAAATAAGATGCAATTAAAAAACTAATTGCATATAACTGTCTTTAAAAAGAGATGATGCCCAGTGGTGTGGCTCAGTGGATTGAACATCGTCGTATGGACTGAGAGGTCCCGGTTCGATTCCTGGTCAGGGCGCATGCCCACGTTTCGGGCTTGATCCCAGTAGAGGATGTGCAGGAGGCAGCCAATCACTGTTTCTATCTCTCTCTCCCTCCCTCTCTCTCTAAAAAAAAAAAAATCAGTAAAAATTTAAAATAAAATTTAAAAAAATAAGAGATGATTATTTTCAGATTGTTCTAGGTTAAGCAAAATCTGTGAATTAAATGGAATTTCCCTTAAAAACAAGAAATCAGAGCAAATTCAATACTAAATAAACCCAGTAATTTCAAGCCAGAAACTAAAAGCACAGGTTGTGAAAAATCTCAAACAAATGTATAAAGCATAACTACTAAGGTATATGAAAAGTTTGGTTAATACATTTATATAATATGCTAATTCTTTAGACTATAAAAAACTGAAAACAAAATTAATACTTTTTACTATCCTATGTTTCATATTTTTTAATTGATTTTTTTTAAGAGAGGGAGGAAGGGGGAGAGAGAGAGAGAAACATCAATGTGAGAGAGACACATGGATTGGTTGCCTCCCCTATATGCCCTGACAGGTGATCAAACCCACAACCTAGGTATGTTCCCTGACCAGGAATCAAACCCGCAAACTTTTGGTTACGGGAAGATGCTCTAACCAACTGAGCAACACTGGCCAGGGTCCTATGTTTCCTATTTTATTTCTCAGTAAAACATATACACCTTTCCCTTCCCTTTACCCTATTTGTTTTTTGAACTATCAGTCATTCATCAAGTGGTTATGGAGTCCCTATTCTGTAGCTGACACCATGCCAGATACTGGATAGATAAGATGCATACAACATCTATCATTGCACAATAGAGTGCCCAGTCTAAGGAGAAAGGAAGACATATAAATTAATAATCACTATATGATGGAGTGCTGAAATGTGTTATTAACCTTGACTCCTCCACCTTCCTAAAGCCCCACATGCAGTCATGAAGTCCTGTTGATTATAACTATAGATATATCTCTACTCCTTCTAGTTCTCTCTTCTCCACTACCACTACCCTATCTCTTGACAGAACTACTCTAACACCTTCCCACTGGTCTTCCTGTCCCTCTGTGTTGTCTCTGATCCCCCTCTGAAGCCTCCACACAGAGCAGCCAAGTCAATTTTTTAAAAAGTAAAGTCAGATCATATAAATTGCTCAATTCAAACCCTTCAGTAGCTTTGCACTGCCTGCTGGATAAAGCCCAATATTCGTAAGAAACCTCTCCTCTCCTCTCTATCTATGCTCTAGACCTTCTGAATCTCTTTGCTTCTTAGAATTCTATTCTCTTATGTAACTACACGCTAATCTCGAAATTAGCATCCTTCTTCTTACTGCTATCTTTGTCAGGCTACCTCCCACACATCCTTCAAGTCTCAGTTTAAATGCTATTTCCTCAGGAAAGCCTTTTTAAAACCTTTAAACTAGATTAGTTCTTATTACATATAGGTAGCATATACCAGGCTCTCCAACACCTGAGTGATGGTGCTATGCACACCATGATATGGGAACAGAGAAAGAGCAGTTCACTCAACCGAGGGGCAGCCAGAGAAAACTTTTTAAACATGATATGTGAGTGAAGCCTTAGAGAATAAGTAGTCTGCCTGGCCCATATGGTTCCATGGTTGAGCACTGACCCATGCACCAAGAGGTCGCCCATTCAATTCCCAGTCAGGGCACATGCCCAGGTTGTGGGCCAAATCCCCAGTGGGGGTCATGCAGGAGGCAGCCAATCGATGTTCTCTCTCATCGATGTTTCTATCTCTCTCTCTCCCTCTCCCTTCCTCCCTCTCTAAAATCAATAAAGGAAAAAAAAAGAATAAGTAGTTCACCAGGCAAAAAAGGAAGAAGGGGCTAGATATTATCTGTATAACCCCAACATATACCACAGATCCTGACGTACACATATTATTCAGCACTCAACTAATTTCTTTGTAATGTTGCATGAAGGCATCTTTTCCACAACTGTACTCACCACAATAGGCTGTATGGTGGGTGCAGGGGAAGGGGTAGCAAGTAAGAAACTAATACTTTTAACAAGAAATCAACCTAGAACCAATAGACTGTTGACAGTAGGTTAGTAACAGCTCTTCACAAAGCAAGATCTGTATCTTACATACATATTAGGTTTAATATTATTATTTAGTACCTTGCTACTCAAAGTACTAAGACCCATAGCATCAACGTCACCTGTGAGCTTACTAGAAACGCTTATCTGAGTCCCTATTCCAGACTAACTGATTTGGAATCTGCATTTTAAACAGCTCCCAGGGATCCAATGCACATTAAAATTTGAGATAAATCACTATAGACCATAAGGTTTTAGTACAGCAAATACATATCTTACTTTCACATTCAAAATTTTATCCAAAAAGGAAAATGAAAACCTGTTCATTTCCACTTCAGTGTTTTTGATCATGTCACTCTGTCTCATTTTATATTAAAATAACTCAACAATAAAAAAGCACCCACTGAAATTATACCAGGTGCAAAACACACTGTAAATACTAAGTGATATGTACATGAGGATTATCAAGATAGTCCCTGTCCTCTAGAGCCTAGATTTCAGAGGAGGGTAGAGAAATAAAAGTACAAGGTAGAAAATGACAATGAGATATAAATAAACTGCTATAATAATTTATAAAAAGGAGTGGTTATCTTAAAATCTCTTGACTTTCTTTTTCCACCAACCATAACCATATTCAAAATTTGACTCTAAATTAAACTCCTCCAAGAGGAAAACCCCTTTCCAATTGATAACTTATTCAAAGGAAACCTGTATTGGAATGTTCCTTTCCAGTGTCTTTGGCTATGTCCCTTCTGTTTCCTCAGAGTGTGAGACCATCATCAAGGCAAGAATCTCATCTTTTCTTTTGTGGAAACCCAATGGCTACTGAGTACTACAAGCATTACCTCCTTAACTGACTCTCCACGAATGTGCTGGCAATTGGAAGTAAGTTTATTTAATCATTATTAGAAAAAAAAATACTATAAAATATTCGCACATAGGCAACAGTAATCTATAACACTTTTAAATGTGTCACCACTCTTGTTTCCTTTAAAGCCTGAAGATAAATGATGTTCACCAAATATTAATGATTACTTCTAGGTGGTGACATTTTAGTGTTTTAAATTTCTGCTCTGAATTCTTCCTGTGTTCAATTTTTTTACAATACATACAAATCATTTCTACAAAAACAATGAAACCACACTTCTTAAAAAATAAAAGCTACTAATGCACAAACACTCATTTCAGTTAAAACAAAAAGGATATCTCAGTGGGGTATCCTTTATCCCACTTCTAGCTAGCTCATCAACTTTGTCTACAAGCTTTCTTGCTTTGTTTATTTTAATATGAGACCAAGTAAGGACCTTCAAACCCATCATTTACTTTGTACTTTCTAATCTCTATACATACACTTTAACCTTCATACTTTTTTTTAAATCGCATATAATATGTGCCTCAATAGTTTAAAAAGTCAAGAGAAAAAATATTTTAAGACTTACAGGATTTGGTATTTACTTGGATAGCATTTTGCTGTGATAATATGAAAGGAAAAAAAATCACCTTTTTAACTTTGGTCGCTGAGAGGTTGACTGTGACGAAGGATTTGAAAACCCTGTGCTTTTACTAACTGGAATGGCATTTTTTTTGGCATTAACAACCTGAGTAGAGTGGGCACTAAAAGACTTAGGACTCCTCCGCTTCACTTTCCGTTCTTCCATTGTTTCAAGTTCCTTACTGCACCCAGGCCAGCTTCTTATGACCTAAGGAAATACAGCAAAATTATACATGTATGCTGTAATATGCCAAAATGAAAGAGGTTCAAATACCCACTACATAGACTGGAAGAAGATTAAGAAATTCAGAGGTTGTTAGAGAAAGTAAGACTAAGGGTGCCTTAAATTAATCTACTGTACTCGTACGCCCCAAGACAAATCGTCAGACAAAATTTTTTTCACCATTTTCTTATTCATTTATTCCACAAATATTAATTCTCTTCCAGTTTCCTGGCACTATTCTAGGCATTGGGGAGATGGCAGTGAACAAGTCCTGCCCTCCAAAAATGTACATTATTTGAATGGGAACAATACATACAAAATAAACAAAACAGCCACATGATATTCCCAGCCTGACTCAAGCTTCAGGTGGCCTTTGGGTCTTCCTTCTAAAATATATTCTGAGGAGGGCCAACTAGATACATATAAATATACTGACCTTTGAATTTAATGCTAATACACATTTGTTAATACCTGAAAAAGAAAAAAACTTAGGAATCAAAGCAGTACAAAGAAACCAATTGTGGTCTAAACTAAGATGTTCTGAGGGGCTTGAAATTTATCCGTTTGGGAAAGGTAACATCTCTCACAAGAGCACTGAAACCCTTCTTGTACACCAAGAAGCCAGGAACCATTAAGAAAAGTCCTTCATAAGCGGCTCCTACTTTCCCCACTGGCTTTGAGATCAGGAACCCACAGCTTCCAAGCAGGACCACTAGGAGTCCCTCCTGACTTCACCTCACTCGGCTTCCCGGAACTGCCGACCCTTCGCCGCCGGGAATCCAGCAGTGCCAGTGGATGATGCGAAGGGCCTAAAGGGGGACATTGCGGGGTGCCTTCGCTTCTTCATACCTGAGGAAGGAGGGGATCGGGTCCTCTTCCTCAATCTGCAAAGACCCTGGAGCCTCCGAAGCCACCGATGCAGCTGCACGCCCCGAAGCTACTGCGGCACTTTGAGCCGGGGACACATCCTGGACCCCGCACCGCCACAGCGCCCTTTGTTTACGGAAGTAACGTAAGGGGGTGGAGCCTCCGCGCCCAAGGCGGGAGCCACGCCTCTTTCTGCTGCACCAATCCCGTGCCGGTCTCCGCTCAGGACACGGTATTGCTTCACGTGGTCTGCTCTCAGCCACACCTTCGGCGGTCGTGGAAAGAGGGACCCACAGCCGGGTCTTCATTTTGGGTTCTGTGGCCCTAAAGCAGGGAAGGATAGGGGGTGGCGGTGGAGGCAAGAACAAGAAATATAGGAACCTTTCCGGAAGCTGCCCCGCCCCCTCGGTGAGTGGCAGCCTTTACGCACCACAATTCCCAGCGTGCTATTTGAGTGGGCCCGGGGGCGGAGCCAGCACGTCGCTATAGCAACCATTCCGGATTGTTTCCGACGCGCCGCCGGGACTTGGCAAAAGAGACCGATCTGGGTTTGAAAGGCAGCGTGAAAAACGTGATGCTGGGCCTAATTAGAGTCGAAATGCGATTCTGTTACTACTGTTGTTAATAGCGACTCGGCTCGGCACTAGACATACGTTTTCTGTCAACTTCACTACAGTTTTGTGACGTAGGTATAATAATCCCCGTTTCAGAGAAGAGGAATCCACCGCTCAGAAGGACTGATAAATCCAGGTCTCTGTCGCCGAGACAGCTCTTCCACTGCACAGCCTGCGTCTGGAGAAAGAATTGCGGACTGAGAGAGATGGAACTGGCCTAAATGAGGGGAGACATCATGTTTCATGTATAGGGTTCCCGTGTGGGGTGGGAGTGGGGCGTTTTAGGCTCACAGACCCTTGGATGGCAGAGATTCAGGAGAACACCGCACACCTTCCTGCATTGTTCATGAGGAAACGGGAAACCGAATCTAGAGATGACATCAGTGCCACGGAGGCAGAGCAAAGACGAACCCAATGGTCCCTCTTTTAAAATTCTGAAATGTTTGAAAAAGAAACACAGAGTAAACATTCATTCACTCACTATCAGGAATGAATGGATGTTACGTTTTGTTTTATATTTTTTTAATGAAACATTTCAGATGAAGCAGTAGCTGCCTGTTCCCGGTGCCATTCTACTTCCCTTCTGAGAGGCAAACATGATCCTAAATTTGATATGCATCTTGCTGGGCTAGGTTTTGTATACCTTCACTACTACTATATATGTATAAACAATATAGAGAATGACTTTTGGCTTTTGAAGTTTTATATGAATACTATTATATTTTGTATATTGATCTAAAACAACTTTTTCACCCAATTCTGTGTCTTGGTGATCTGTCAACATTGATACATATGGCTAGACTTCAGTTTGTTAAACTACATAGTATTCTATTAAATAAGTTTGCTTTAAGTTATTTGGGAATTCCAATAGTGATGGATATTTAGGTTGTTTCCCATTTTTCACCATTAAAAACAATGTAGTAGGGTACAATCTTTCCAGTATCTTTTCTTAAAACGAATCTTATCTCTTATTGAATCTCTGAATTGTCTTCTCTGTATGAGCAGAGCTTGCAAACGGGTGATTCACATGCTAGTTTAACATTGGTTGCTAACAAAATAGGAGGGATAAAAGAATGGATGTCATCACATCCATTTGGCATCCCAATAATGGAGTCTCTGACCACACTAGATGTGCACCAGAAATGAGTTCAAGCTGAAGAGCACCTGCAGCTGAAGAGGCAGCTCTTTTAGTCAGTTCAAGTGATCACTAGTTTTTCTCTAAGTCCCTCTGCCTTTAGTACCCATCTGGGCCCTTAGTACCCATGTAGGCCCTGTGGAATTTGAATTGGCAGCCCCTAATATAATGTAGCGACACAAGAAAGTAACCAGCCCCTAATATAATGTAGCGACACAAGAAAGTAACCTTCAAAATGTATATATTTCAGGTATTTCAAGTTCTGTATTGAGTCCCTGTTTTGGCCAGGCACTCTCGGAGGTCAGGGGCACCCATGAACAAAATGTTAAGAGCCTTACAGTTAGAGATCTTATATTCTTGATAAAGGAGATGAACAATAAATTAGTCAACAAATAAAGCAGTTTCATTTAGTGATAAGTGCCTACGTGAAATAACAGCTTAAGGTCCTAGGGAGCTGTTGAAAGGGTTGGAGTACTGAAGAGGGAGTGTCAGGGAAGGCCTTACTGAAAAGACAACTTTGGGAGATGTAAATGAAAGACAGGCGCCAGCCACAGAATGATCTGGGAAAAGAGCATTCTAGGGCAAAACATGGCCAACCCGTAGGTCTTTAGGCACAAATAAGCTTGGCAAGTTTGAAGAAGCAAGGGCTTGGTGTGGCTGGATTGTACTGACTTAGGGACAGAGTGACATGAGTCACAGAGGCACAATGTGGATGTGATGTCTATAATTGAAATCTAGAGTTCTTCCTGAAAGAAATTTTGTTCTTTGAGATTTACTAGATTTTCCTTTTAATTACAAAATCCCTTCTTTGGATTGAATGTTAAATGCACAGTTTGTGTAAGTTACTCTAATCAGAGACTTTCTTCCTAAGGATGATAGAGGATAAGAGCTTTGATCAACAAGACTCCCAGCCCCAGTGCTAATATGCTTGGTAGCATAGGTAGGCAAGGACAGGTGTGAGTCTCCTGTAAGATGGTGATGCAAATGTAACAGATTCACAGGCTTTATTTATTTTATGTTTCAATTTTGTTTTCAGCCTTGTCAAAATAGACCCTCCCAAAAATTAGGTCGCCTCCCCCAAAAAATGGGAGGGAGGGAGTATCTCAGATTCATAGGCTTTAGATCTAACTAAGTCAGAATCTCTTGGAGACCCAGGAATCTCTATTTTTTTAAATAGATTTTTTTTTTTCTCATGGATAACTTCAAATATACACTAAAGAAGACAGAATAGGCCCGGCCAGTGTGGCTCACTGGTTGAGCGTTGACCCATGCACCAAGAGGTCCCCAGTTCGATTCCCAGTCAGGGCACATGCCCAGGTTGTAGGCCGAATCCCCAGTAAGGGGCATGCAGGAGGCAGCCAGTCAATGTTCTCTCTCATTGATGTTTCTATCTCTCTCTCCCTCTCCCTTCCTCTTCTCTAAAATCAATAAAGAAAAAATATTTTTTTTTAAAAAAGAAGACGGAATAGTATATTGAATCCCCATGTACCACCCATTTCCTTCTGCTGACTCATGGCCAATCTTATTTCACTTAAGTCCCTCCCCCAACATTTTCCCCTCCCCAATATTATATTGAATCAAATTCCAGACATCATTTAAGCTATAATATTTCATTAGAGAGTTTTGAGAGATTTTTTAAAAAACATAACCACAATATCACTGTTGTTCCTAAAACAGTAATAATAGCTTAATACAGGATGGGACAAAAGTAGGTTTACAGTTGTGAGTACGTGAGATAGAGTTTATTCTTGTATCATCATTTCTTAATTAGTGTAGTATTTTCCATATGAACAGCTGTAAACCTACTTTTGCCCCATCCTGTATTATTAAATATCCTGTCAGTCTTCAAATTTCTAATAGCATGATAAGTGTCATAATTTTTTTCACATCTCATTTGGATCAACAATGTTTTTCTATAAGGTCCTCGGGTGATGGATGGGTTTGGAAGCCTCATTTGTTGAGCTACAAACATGCATTGTTCTTCCCCTGAGAAGGTTACGCTCGAAAGGAGAAGGCGGGCCCTGGCTGGTTTGGCTCAGCGGTTGGAGCGTCGACCTGTGGACCACAGAGTCCCGGGCTAAATAAATAAATAAATAAATAAATAAATAAATAAATAAAATAAAGGAGAAGGCAGGTATCTCAACCCAAAGCAAATAGTTACTCTGCCTAGTGCTTGGAAAGCAGCCATCGCTAGTTGTCCTTTGTGGTCTTATAGGGTTCTTATAGTTTTTGTTTCTTTTATCTTTTTAAATCCTCACTGGAGGACATTTTTGCAGTTATCTTCAGATAGAGTGGGAGGGAGGAAGAGAGAGAGAGAAACATCGATTCAAGAGAGACACATCGAGTGGTCGCAACCCACACAACCCCAACAGGAGCTGCGACTGAGGTACGTGCCCTTAGCAGGAACCGAACCTGGGACTCTCAGGTCTGCAGGCCGATGCTCTAACCGCTGAGCCAAACCAGCCAGGCTAGTTTTTGTTTCTTTAACTTGGAAGCCTATACCTCATTTGCTAAGTGTTCCTCCACCTCCTTTTCTTCCCATACCAGAGTGCCTAGTCCAAGATAGGTCAGGTTCAATGCTTCTTCACCTGCCTAGCTCAGGAAACATCTAGTAAAAAAAGCCCTCGAGCATAAAATGAGTTTGGCACACTTGTGGAACTGACAGGATGCCAGTGTACTGGTCTAGATTCCAGTCTATTCCAAGATATACCTATTAAGGATTAGTGAAGGGCCCAAAATAAACGTAGTGACCATTATAATTGTATTTTACTGATAACTGCTTTGGAAAAACAAAACAAGGAATAGATAACACACCAGAGAAGTTACAAAGATTTAGACATTTATAGAATTCTTACATATATGGTCTTTGACAAATCTGTCTTCTTCATTGGCTCTAAGTTTCTTGACAGCAGATATGTTATATTTGATTTTGTTTTTTTTTTAATTTATTTTTATTTTTTTTAAGTCTTTATTGTTGAATGTAGAATGTATTACAGATGTTCCACATTTTTTCCCCCATTGACCCCCTCCTCCCCACTCCCACCTCCCTCCCGCCTTTTCCCACACTATTGTCTGTGTCCATTGGTTATGCATATAAGTTCTTTGGTTTATTTCTTCCCACCCCCCCAGCCCCTTTCCCTTTGAGGTTTATTAGTTTAGCAACCAATTTGTATTTCTTAATCCCTTCACCTTTTTCACCCATTCCCCCATCCCCCCTCCCATCTGGCAACCAACAAAATGTTCTCTGTATCTATGAGAATGTTTCTGTTCTATCTGTTCATTTTGTTTGTAGATTCCATTGTTGATAGATATGTATTCATTGCCATTTTGTTTGTTCATATATTTTATCTTTTTCTTCAAAAAGACCCTTCA